GCCCTCAAATGGGATCGTGCACTGACGGAAAGTGCAGCGGAATCCGAAGGAACGAAGTGATCCCGGAATTAAACGGGACAGCAATATACACAGGATACACTACTTGCACTACCGCATGCGGAGGAATTGCATGCGGCTGTCTATTACCTCCACCCTCGTGCTCCTTTCACAGATTTGTACATGAGCCCAAGTCAGAACTAGTCTACGAGGTAATAGATTGCTTGGATTGGAAACCACTGATTACGGTGGAAGTCCACACAACACTGTTTAATACTGAAAAAAGTAGCCTACACGTTTTAGAACCATACGTGGAACAAATAGCGGGTAACTAGAAAATGACCGTCATCTCTGTTCAGAAGCCCGTATCACCTATGATGAATCGAAGGTCGCAATAAGTTCCAAGGACGCAGTCGTAATACCTGGAAACTACAGAATTCCGGTTGAATGCGCAACTGAACAAGCAGCAGCTAAATACTATGGCAATTGCACCTTCCACTCCGAATGCATTTGCTACAACTCATGATCAGGAACCGGCTGCAGTTATCATGTAGAATCGATATCACATATAAAGTTGAGATTGATTAACACCTTTCCCATCCTCACTTCAGAGAGAAAATCAAGGAGAAGGTTAAGCAGCTAATCTTATCCTCAACAAGAGGAGAAGTTATCTTAACTCTTCGTTCGAACGCGTTGATCAACGGCAGTGAGTATGTTATTCAACAACCATGCAGTATCCAATTTGGGAAACTACTTGGATGCTACGATTGCATACAAGGCGCACAAGCCCACACCTCATGTCAAACCAACGTTTCCTCTTGGACTACAGCACAGTGAGGAGCACACATTCTCCATTGAATGCGATCCTTCGAACCAATCAAGTATTGTAAATCTCAGCTTCAACTACGCCGTAATTGAATAGGACTGTCACACAGTTTGCGATGGCAGAGACGTAACTTTCGCTGTGAGAGGAATCCCAATGTTCCACGAAATAAGCGGTGGCAATGCTGTGTTCGATGGAACGGATAAACAATAGGAAAAAACATTGGAAAATAACGCTGAAATCCGCAACTGCGGTTGCAGCGGGAGTGGTGATAACATATTTGGCTCATTAATCGTTGAGGTCGCAGTTAGGATATTCCCTATTATCGTCACTTGCGGTGTGAAAGTCGCCGTTGGCATCTTGACGGTAGCCTGGTGGGCCTTACAACTCATCCTGCCAATAGTGCAACAGGGGAAGAACGTTGTAATTCGCTGCCAAAATCGACTATCCACCTCAAAATTCAAACTTGACCTATATGCACTACCCACAATATTGTACAAAGCACGTTGTAAATAGTCCCTACAAATCGTAAACAGGCGGAGTTATGATGACACGGGGCGTGTTTAAAAGATATAAACATAGAGATCCCTACATAAAGCCGATATTAGCCCAGAGAGCTGAAATGGCCCAGTACGAACTCTGCACACCTCCACATGGAGCTTATAAAGAACGTAGATCACAAGAGCGACGTGATCCGTCTGAAGCTCGACGAATTCATGTCTACCATGTCGGCTCGCATCGAGCAACTTGAAGCGACAATCGAGAGATTGTCACTTATTCGATACTCGTTGGAGGACTTCACCAGCCTAAAGCCTGCCTTGGAAAGACTGGTCGAGCGTACTACTTCCCGTTCAGCCTGTGTTTTCTGCACACTACAGGAGAACGAGGGTTCGCACCAAAGCGGGCGCTGCCCGCGTTTCCCAGTGCTTATGCACGCATTTTCCAAGTCCCAAGATGGAACTTTGCGGGCAGTGCCTTAAGCCTGGGCACGATACAGCGTGTGAGGCCGGATGCGGGATATGCCGCCAATCCTACAACGCTCTGTTGTGCCCGGCAAGAGCGGCTTCTCTTCCCAAGAAGAGGAAGTCTAAGCGTCTACCCTATATTCGCACTATATCCTACTTACTACTATAAAGCGCTTCGTCTGTCGTCTGTCTGTCTGCCTGTCGTTCTGTCTTTATGTCTGTCACGAAATTCCTTAGCTCCTTTAGATCTGCCTGGAAAGACCGGGTCAAGCGTGGGATGGATGGGCCATGTCCCGAGAAGTATAAAGCACACGTCAGCTTAGCGGACCACCGCCCACAGTGGGCGTGGTGTGCATCGAAATGAGCTGTACTGAGGGCCACCATTTCACATTCAGTCACAAGACGGCTTCAAAACCTTGGTGTAAAGGTGGCTAGAGGTGTGCATTGGTAAGTTAAATCCAAATGGAGAGACCCACTCCCGATGGGCGGGGCGTTCTCCGAAAATGCGATACCTTATGAAAACATTTATAACTCGGTTTGGAGAAGGCCTACAGAGCAGGAAAAAGTTGAAGTGGGAGAAGCATTGTTGAAGGTGTCTCCAGCATGAATGATGTCAGCGGAGGCCCGCCCACAATGGGCGGAGCGTGCCTCGAAACTCGTATCCCTTCCTACCTTTATATACGAAAATCCATAACTCCGGTTCCCATGGACCTAGAGAGTTCGAATTTGGTAGGAGTACAGATGGCATAAGGGAAAACTTATGGTGGGTGGCTGAACCAGACTCCGCCCACAAGGGCGGGGGTTTGGGCGAAAATTCATAACTCCTGTCCCCATCAACCTGGAGCGCTCAAATTTTGTAGGAGCACAAGTGACAGAATGGAAAACTTATGGTGAGTGGCAGAACCAGATTCCGCTCACAAGTGGCGGGGTTTGGGCGAAAATTCATAACTCCTGTCCTCATGAACCTAGAAAGTTCAAATTTTGTAGAAGCACAAGTGACAGGATGGGAACACCTATTGTGGGTGGCAGGACCAGACTCCGCCCACAGGAAGGGGTGCTTGAGCGGAAACTCATAAATACCATAAAGGTCTATAATGAAAATCAGCTCATGTGGCTCCTTCTCATGGCTAGAGCCCCTAGCGCACGCGATAGCGTGCAAAGCTGCCGCCTGGTTCAACTATATTCTGCACGGACTGCCAACATATTCCGCACCACTCCACTCAACCGCACACCACAAGACCAGCCGATCGTTCAACCACGATTCACTGCAACCAGCCGATCAACACAGCACCGCATCGACACTAGAAAAATCCCCAATTATTTGTTTACCAATTCTTGTTAATTGTTTTGTTGACGTGGGGATGTCGCGCATTATCGCGACCCCGCGACCTCTTTGTTATAGATATTTCTTTGTGCCCGACCACCCAGATGTGGGGTGGTCGGAGTTGAGGCGGGATCCGCCTTAGCACCAGTCTGCTTATCGAGGAGCTTACGAGTGGCGGTCGCCCTCGAACTCCAATTTGTCACCTCACCATTATTCAACAAATATTACACCACTGAACCACTGTTTTAAACAGAGAGATACACTCCCTGTGGCTGGAATATTAAGTTCCGCCACAAGCCATACGTTTGGCTGCTTACGCGCCGGCGCGCTAAGACCCGCACACGCCCGACCAGGCGCGACCCTTCAATAGATTAGTTCGCAAGTCACGACATACGGGAACAGTAGATATTATTTTTTGCTCAAACGTTTATTTCGTGCAAACCTCGCCTCCTGTGAGCGGAGTCTAATCTTGCCACCTGCATGAGTGTTCCCATCCTGCCTCTTGTACTCCTACCGAATTTGAACGTTCTAGGCCCACGGAGACGGGAGTTATCAATTTCCGTGCAAACAGACAGATAGACAGAAGGACGCGAGCGCTTCATATATAGTAAGTATATACTAAGTTACATTATAACTGGATGAAGGGGAGGCCAATAACTTAAGGTTCCAGTCATAAGCAAAATCTTAAGAATGAAGGGTAGAAATAGGAAAAGGAAAGGAAGAATGAAAGAAATAGAGAGAGAGAGAATTACTACAGTAGAAATTTACTATAACGTGATTCGCTTCGCCTCTAAACCCAGACGAATCATGTTAATACGCTGGTCCCCGGGGCTCTTCAGTGAGTTAGGTCCAGCGTATTACAGGGAAAATACAACTATAAAGGAAAAGCTACAAAATTAACAACAGAAAAAACAACAGAAAACATAAAAGCTGTTGAAAACAATTAAAAGAACATCAATGTTTAGTAGAAAATTGTGTAATGAGAATCCCAAAAACCTATAAGTTATAAATTACAGTAACCAAGAGCCATACAGTAACGCTCAAAAGTCTTCGGTGGAATGGTTCTTCAGCTGTACTTTCCTGTCGTAACTGTTTTCCTACTGGATGTAATCAGGCGAAATTTCTGTATTTGGAGCGTGGATGTATTGTGAACATTTACCACTATTAACTTGCAAGCTGGTCATGTTCCAGATATTCCAAACAGCATGAACTCAAAATCGACTGAAAATACAGATAATGGTCCTTTTAGAATTTCTTTCCTTTTTGTCATGTCTAAAGTGTACGAGTGGTAATGCTGAACAGAATAGATGAGAAAAACGCACATAAGGTGCGAATAAGTGCTAACGTCAACAACTACAGTCTCAGCAAAATCTGCTACCGTTGAATAGAGCACTACTATGTATATTAAGTATTGAAGGTATTAAAAGGAATTATTTAGTGAAAAAGGGTAACTATAGTAACAAGAATTAAACCTAATGATCAAAACTGTTAAGTAAGTCTTCAACAAATTTATGTATGCCGCGTTGGTGGGACAGCATTTGCTGTGATGAAATGTGGTTGCTGGAATGAACGTTGACGCGATCTCAGCAGGTATAGTTTCACTAACTAGTGGAAGTCATCATTAACTAGTGGGATTCTGTTCTACATACGTTATATCGATGACGTATTCGTTATTGGAGCAACAGATGAAGACCTTGTGGAAACACTAAAGAGACTGAATTCTCGCGATGCTAACGTGGCCTTCACAAGGGAAGATCCAGGGAGAGATGGTTTTCTACCATGCCTCAATACAAATGTACGGACTAGTGAAGGTTACAAGGAACACCTGTAGTATTGAAAAAGTGCTTCGTCGAACATCTTGTTGCATTCCAGAAGCGCACTTCCTGTTTATATGAAGGCGAACGTCGTGCAGAATCTCCTGCAAACGAAGAGGAAGCTTGGATCACGAAGGGATTCACTTGTTGATGCTAAAGTAGAAAGTATCCTCAATAGCAATGGATACTTCGAAGGCAACACGACGGCCTGGGTCCCATACAGAACGGCTGACGGTGTGAGCCTCATTCTGCCTTTTGTAAGTGACAAAACGGCATGTGAGGTGAACCACGTTGTAAAGAACTCCGAGCTTCCCATTCGACTTGTTTTCCGACCTCCGCCTACACTGAAAGATCTCCCGACATCTTCTCGAATCTACGAAAAACGGTGTCGCGAGCAGTCTTGTCGCTACTGTACATCCGAAAAGATCTACGAGCTTAAAGGCACCGTGTATTTGATTCAATGCGGAGGATGTGGAGAGAAGTACGTGGGGGAGACCGCAAGACCCCTGAAGACCCGCCTGGATGAACATAAAAGAGCGTTGGCCAATCCCGCTGCCTACCCAAACTGCAGCTTTTCCAGGCACCGTACACTCAAACATGAGAAGGGGAACGCTCCATCTTTCGATGTGAGGGTTTTGCATAGGCCTGGGAAGAAAAATCATGGAAGCATGGGAAATATGCCGTATCAAGCCGGAAATCAATGCAAAGGAGGAGATGCGTGACCTCCTGAGACTGATTGAATGATTATACTCCGTCGCCTCAGGAGAGAGTTCCAAGCTAATAGGTCCACTCCCCTCTTCCATACTATTTCCGTTTGGTTCGATACGATACGATGTGTTCTATGGAGTAACTGATTGTTGACTGATTGTTTGCAACTATGTATTGTAATGTTAAGGTCTGAAGAAGGCATTATATGCCGAAAGCTAACCAATAAAGTGGAGTAACAAGAGCTTCGAAAATTCCCTAGTATAATTAATGAAATGTTCCTTAATAAAGCAGAAATTGTATTTAGTTCTACTGCTAATGGTTTGAGACTACTATACTTTTTGCAAATGATACCATAATTATTAGCAGCTTTGTCCAGAGAGGAAAATATAAAATGATCTTGATATCTTTTCAGTAAGTGATAAGGGGTATTTTCAGCTGAACTTTTAATATTTTTGTATGCCATGAGAGGTTTTATTTTATTATGATTTTTTGAAAATCTGAATTATACAGCTGACTTTAGTATTACTTATTTTATATTTGTTCTTGAAATAATCTATTACATAAGAAATAGTACCGAAGTATGCATGTTTAATTTCCTTCCTACTTACTCCTGTGTCCAGTCTATATTTTGTTCTCTTATGAAGGATGTTTCTAAGGTTTTCTTCTTCTATAATATTTAAATCACCTGTAATAATATGTCTATCATGCTTATTCAAATATTTAGTGCATTTATTATAAGTGCAAATACAACCTTTATCTAGAACTTTTTTGAATTTTTCATTATTCAGGTGTTTCAGTGTTGTATTATAATTACAAACCTTGGCTAAAACAAGACCGACATGCTTATAAACAATTCTCACAGGAGAGTAAGTTATTACTTTTTTATTATTATCAGTTAGTATATTTTTCACACCATATGAATTTAATATCTTATGCCAAGGTATATTAGCAAAAATTCTACTATTATAATTAACAACGATATTATGATGTTTTACATCATATAACTTTTTATTTTCTCGGTTATTTGAGTAGAAATAAAAATGTGATAATAAACAGTATATTAAAAATTTGGTTATATCATTAATTTCTTCTAAAAACTGTTCATGTGTTGAAAGCTGCATTAGTTTTTTAATTTCGGTTCTTTCAATGCTTTTTAGTTACCTATAATATGGGAGTGGTTCCAACGAATTCTTCATGCTGATGATTTGATTCAATGCATATTTGTAATCCTTTTCTGATCTTGTACTTTTCTTCTTCCTTCTTCCTCTATTAGTTCTATTTTTAACAATCTTAAATGCATAAAACGGAGGTGTACCTTTAGTGTTAAACGGATTTGAAATTTGAGTTATATTACCTAAACCTTTAATGCTGATATTTAAACCAAATGGAAAAGGTGTCATAAGTATTTAATCCAGAAAACCTCTTTCTCTAAAAGCAAAGATCTGTTATTATTCTTACTTGAATCAAGAACAGCAACAGTTATACCCTTATTACATATACGAAAATGAGCGTATAACGTAGTGTGTTTATTTTGCGTGTTAATATTAGTTATATGTTCACCTATCCTTTCTTTCAATTTTCTAGTAGTAATTCTAACATATTGTTTACCATATTTACTACAAGTAAGACAATAACCCACATTCATGGTGCTACAAGTAGTGTTATTTCTTTTGTAAGTATATATTTTTAATCCAGTTGCATGTGAAAAAATGTAGTTGTCATTCGGCGTTTTTTTACATGTTCTATAATGTTCATTGCACTTGTATCCTCTGTTTTCGTTTCCAAAATCATGCAATAAGTAATGATTGGCTTCTCTTACCTTTTGAAAATTAGTGTAAGTATAATATGTATTACAATTGATTGCTTTATTGTTTTTTGACCTAAATCTAATTGTATGAGCGGTCAAACCCATACACAGAGAGGAGTCGGCAATGAATGGGTTCGGTAAGGCTACTGCCAGGGATTGGCAACCCCTATTTTGTCCTATTAAGGAGACCAATTAGACAAGTCGGCCAGCGTCGATGCGATCGGCGCTGCACACAGGGCAAGGCGAGTGAGGGAACAGCAGCAGCCCAGTTGCCGGTAAGCGGCTTCTTTTATAGTGGACCCGCTAAACGTCGCATGGTGTGATTGATGAGCGTCTTCGTACAGGCGGTTCGGGCAGCGAGGATACGACAGATTCGATTCTCTTGAGTACCTCCATTACCTGCCCTAATCATTCAGAGAGATTCTACGCGGACGGATATCGCGCAGCCTACGATGAGAACCAAAAAGTGATGAGGAGTTTACCGCACAAGAACCGTATCACGCAGCCATGGTTACCTGCTGAGATTTACTTGCTAACGGTGACGATACCCCCCCCCCCTACCCCTCTGCAAAGCTGTCAGTTCCTCGGACAGTCCTTGGTGCATAGCCCGCGGATAGCGATAACATGATCGCCCGCAGGATCGTCTTGATGATGGGGTGAGAGGAAGCTCCTGCTCCGCAGCGGGTGGTGACCGGACGTGTCGAACCCCCTCGGCTAACACCACTGCGCATGGGCAGGATAGTTGACGCGCATCGGCGACCTCTAGTAAGGTGAGGTACCATCCCGTGGGATTGTGGTTCATGTTCATCGCTTTGCTTCGTCAGTAGGTATGAAGCCACTTATTTCATTCATGTTTTTGTGTAGCAGGAGAGGTCCATCTGTACAATATTGACTTTGAGTGCAATGGACGAGTATTTACCAGTATCTACTTTTTTGCGTGTCTAGTACATTTTAATACAATTATCAATAACAATAACGTGGTCGCCAATATTAAACTCTAAGCGTAAGGACCTGGGGGATTACGGGATCGTATTGAGGCGCAGTGTTTCGATGGTCGTCACAGCCGGATTGCGAGACGCAGATACCATAATAGGATATCACACAAGGAGGAGACCGCCAACAACGAGGCAGGGGTACGTGGACTTACGTGCGTCCGAGGATGCGCGTGGCAAATTGCGCGGCGGAGTTCGTAACGATATGAACGACTTTAGCGCCTATCATTGGGGCCCAAATGTGAAGAAGAGTAGATAAGAAGGATCATCTGACCCTACTAAACTACTCTACTTCGAATGTGCCCCCAAAATTGGCGTTGGAGTCGTACAAATTGTTACAACTTGGCTGCGCAATTTCCCGCGTGCGTCCTCGGACACATTTAGTGCACGTAGTGCACGTCCTCCCCCCCCCTCCCCCCCTGTGGCAGAGCGAGCTTGTCGAGCGCAGTTCCCTTCCGTTCTTCTTGAAAGTCACGGCGGGGCATACTTGACATCTTCTCGCCTTCGTCTTAGATTGCCCTGTGGAGTGGGTGCATATCGCAATAAGCGTGGTCCTCACCCTACCGCAATCGACGGCAAGGGCAAGACGTAAGTTGTGTGCCATTTTAGATAAATACTTGTTGGTGAAAATGTAGTTGGAGGGTGCCAGCGCCCTTTTGTGATCTGCGTCTCTGACACCTGCGGCAAAGTGCATAGAGATGGCAGGGATGGATTCCTCCCCTTCTAAAAATTAGGGGAGGAGCTCCAGGGTGGGAGAGATGATTATCTCGTGCAAAAAGCTGGGATGGGGCAAGAATTGAACATCCAACTGGTTCACCCACCCCGGAGCTCCTTCCCTAACTTTTAGAAGGGGAGGAGCTCCGGGATGGGTGAGATGACCAGATGGGATAAGAAATGAAGAGACGCAGAACACAAAAGTGCCTGGCACCCCCAACCTACATTTTCACCATACTTGTTTATGACTATTCTGAGCTTTCATAGCGGTAATATCGCACTTACATTTTATTTGTTGGACTCCATTATCACCGGAGTAATTATAACCACTGAGCAGAAGAACTTAAACAACAAAACCAGACAAACCCTACGTGTGAGCGGTTGCGTCGCGGTTCCGCGCTACAGCACGTTATTTTGGGGCGTCTTTGTACTGCGGGGAGGCCTGATGACAGAAGATTTCCTCTTTCAAAACCCTGCTTATTGGCGGTTGGTTGCGTAGCGCGTTCGAACACATTATTCTAAGGTGATTACTAATTGTAGGAAGTAATTTTCGACAACCAATGAGCTGTTAAAATATAGTTTGGTAATGTATGTCTCCTTTTTTCCTGCATGTTTCCTCGTTCATGCTTCTTCCAAGACCATTGATGGGTAGTTACCCGCCCCTCCCCCCTAGTGAATAGCTAGTGAACACTATTATGTGGGTGAAAATGTAGTTGGGGGGTGCCAGCGCCCTTCCGTCTCGTTGCTCTGCGTCCCTGACCCAGGCGGCAGAGTACCCAGAGACCGCACCGGAGCGCACATATTACCTCGTAATAGTGATAGGGAATGTACTCTTTAGCAAGGGGAGGAGCTCCGGGGTGGGTGAGAAGTAAACGTTGTGCAAGAAGTAGAAATGATTAGAATAACACTTGCGCTATGTTTACTTCTCACCCACCCCGGAGCTCCTTCCCTTGCTAAAGAATACGTTCCCTATCACTATTGAGAGGCCATATCCGCGCTCCAGTGCGTTCTCTGGGTACTCTGCCGCCTGGGCAGAGACGCAGAGCAACGAGACGGAAGGGCGCTGGCACCCCCCA